AAAAAAAAAGACTGTTCCAGTAACAGACCACATAACGTGTCTCGAATTGTTAATCTGAGTTCTCTGTTTCAGGCTTGCTCCCACTAAGTCTCCGTATGGAAGTCCTTCAAGTGCTGAGGCCGCTTTACAACTCGCCCTGAGAGTGTCGTCTTTAGGTGCTCAGACACTGCAATTGGTTGGCCACTTGACTCAGACTGTCCCTGGAGAGTGACGGGGTCACGGCACGCCCCTTGTTGCTCAGACACCCCAGGAGCCACAGCAGCCCTTTCTGCCTGCTTGGATGGCGACGCTTTTTGACTTGTGCCCTGCTGGATGAAGCGTTCTGTCAGGTTTAAATTACGCGTCAATGTGCTTCTGTTGTAAGACTCTCTTGTCTTCCTTAAATGACGACGGTTCCGTCGATATCTGGCACCATCTTCAGTAACCACCTCGTACGACCGAGTTCCCACAGATTTGTCCACCCTCGCTTTGACGGTCTCGCTAGTTAGACTTCGAGGGGAAATTAAAAAAACCGTATCTCCACTTTTACGCTCTGCAAGATCTTTGGCTCCCTTGTTGTAATTAATCGCTTGACGTTCTTTGTTAGTTAGCAGCTTGTCGTGGACATTATATTATGATCAACGGCTGGTTGGAGAGCCGCGACAAGGTAGGGACCTGGGTTCTGGTTCGTCTGCTCATGAGTCGTACCACTGGGCTGCTGTCCATTCCTTGACTAGGCGTGTTCCTGTATTGGAGCAGTGCAAGATAACGATCTGTCTTGGCCTTTCTAGATTTCTTCATAACTGTCTTTGCTGACTTGACGGCTGCCTCAACTTTCCCGTTACTCTGAGGGTATGTCGAGTAGCTTGTCACGTGAGCGAAACTCCAATGACGACTGAACTCCTGAAATTCATCTGAAATGTGAGCCGTTGTCTGACACGCACGTTTCTGGAATACCGTGCCTAGCGAATTGGGCCTTCAACTTCCGGATCACTGTCGCTGACCGTGTGTTCTAAAGAAGATCAAGCTCCCAAAACGAGGAGTAGTAATCCATACAGATAAGGTAGTTACGACTCCTGTTACTGAACAGGTCAATTCCAACTTTGGCCCAGGGTCTATCCGGGACTTCGTTTGAGATCAAGATCTCTTTAGGCTGTCTCTTGTCGTAGGATCTGCAAACATCACACGTCTCAATGAACTGTTGGATCTTACTACTCATGCCCGGCCAGTAAATGCATTCTCATGCTCGCGACAGGCTGCTGACAACACCGGAATGAGCATAATGAAGGCGACGCATCACAGGTCTCGACGCAGCGATTTCAGAATCAGCGTTTTCTGGTCTCCGAATGGAGGCGTGGGTTCGTATCCCACTTCTGACACCATGTTTCAACAAGTAGACAGCAACGTACCACAAGAACAAAATAACCGTTTATTTTGAAAGTCATTCTTCCTTATATATACATCATAACGAGGCTAACGTGCACCCTAGTACCGAGGCTACCACACATAACAATATTAATAGCTATTTATTAGCCATTTATTCAGGATGATACTCTATACGAAACGCTGGATTGAAGGTCGCAGTTCTTTTATAGCTATTTTTTTCTTGCTGCACATGTGATGGTGTTTTAAGCTTTCGTTGAGCAAGAGCGAGTTTCTGAACCTTGCGTCACTTTGCCGAATAAATAATTTTGTCACTCATTGATATCCTTATGCTTCACTGATGCAAGAAAAAAGCAGGACCAGTACAACTCCACATCAGCGTCATGTATGCTTTCACCGGTATGAGTACCAAAGATTAATTGTTCTGTTAACGGTTACAATGGTAAAGTGTGTATAGAAACAGGTGTCCTATACGGTTAAGAAGAAGGGTGAAGCAACTTGCAGTATTTCTACGTCTAATTTCCTTCAGTGGGGTGCTTGTATATCTCAGGGGTACCCCAACCATAAAATTCTCTGGTATCCATTTATACACCTAGGTGATAAGAGGCACTGTGAAAGTAAAACGAGTTGTTTTTTATCCCAAAACACTCCACAATATCCTGGCCCGGGCTCCAACAGGGACTTCTTGAAAGATAGGTCGTCAGGCCAACGCTAGGCCACGGTGTCTCCAACTATTAACTGTACGGCATAATGAAACCTATTTTCTTTTTCTTTTTTCAGGAAAGAACTTCAAAGTGTGTGAAAACTGGCTTCTCTTCAGTCTGCTGTTGATTTCTTCATCATTTCGTACCCAGTCCTTACAACTCTAACAGCCGTGTCTTGTTTAGTCCTAACTGGTCAGCAGCTTACACCTCAAAAGGCGTTCACAACCATAGCTCTGTTCGGAGTTTTGAATAGCACAGCTACAAATTTGTTTGTCAAGACAAACTTCCTCTTGTCATATTCAATTAGCTCAATGGAAAAACATTTCCCGTTTCCTTCTAGAAGGTAACATCGATGCGCAAATGGACGATGATAATTGTCCAGTGGTATGTCAGTGTGCCATTGCCACTAGGTTTTAGGGCATCAGATAAGGTTCCAGAAAAAGAAAGATTCCCTAAGATTGCTTTGCATGACATATCAGCTAGTCTGGTCAAAGATGAGCAAAGTTTTCAGCTCAGCCGAAACATTATTGGAATTATAGGCCCCGCGCGTTGGTTGTGGCAAATCTTGCATTTTTCACTCCATCATCAGTGACCTCCACATTGATGAAGGAACTATCGAGACTAAAGGAGAGCTAATCATTGTTCCTCAGTTAGTCTGGGTCTGTTCGGGGACTCTACGGGACAATATTTTGTTTGGCCAGCCATTGGAAACAAAAAAGTACGAAAACATTCTAGACGCCTGTGCGTTGAAAGCGGACTTAAAAATGTTTCCCAAAGGAGACCTTACCCAGATTGGAGAGCCTGGAATAAGCCCAAGTGGTGGTCAACAAGCTTGGGTCAGCTTAGCTCGTTCAGTGAATGCAGATGATGATATCTTTCTCTTGGATGATATACTGAATGCCGTTGATTCCAAAGTTGGCCAACAAATTTTTCAAAACTGTTTCAGCGGAATACTGGCTGATAGACTTCGAATCCCAGTTACTCATCAGGTGCAACAACTGGAGACTGCGGATCACATTTTGGTATTCGACAATGGGGCAATTATAAGCGAAGGGACGTATTCTCAACTCAGCAATAACGACACCTTCTCCTCAAAGTTGATCACAGATGCAAGGCAAAGCGACGAACATCATGAGAAACTTTCCAAGTGCTTCGTCAGAAAGTCAGAATACTGAGTTGTTCCATCGATCAGATGACAAAGGGATTGAAAGAGCCGCGGAGGAAAAAGTGAAAGAAGCAGTGTCCTTGGATGTTTACTGGCAATACCTAATTAAAGAGGGGACAACGATGGCTGCGCTGTTAGTGTCTGGATCAATAGCAATATTACCAGATGGTAAGAGATTGTTGATAATTACTAAGTCCAAACAATCTCTCATTCTCCACGGCATCTCATCAGTCAATCAGGATGCAATCTGAAAATTTATTCTGATTACTGTAAAACATATTTAAGGTCCTAAGACCATTCTGAGACGGAGAAAGGTACTATAAGAATTGTAGACTAATATGGCTTACAAGCCAAATGGCAAGACACAAAAACGTCTGAAATAACAAGAAATCTTGCCGAGACTTTCACTTTCGTAGCTGAAATGTTTTTATGGGTAATATTTTTACGGTTAACTGTAAAAAGTTTCCAATTTTTACGCCTAACTGTAAAATGTTTGGCCCGTTTTATGGGTAACGATGAATCCCTAAGGTCACGGCTTCAGCAGTATTTTGATGTCTTTGGCAAAAAAAATACCAGGAGTGGGGTTCGAACCCACGCGGACAACACGTCCATTGGAACTTAAGTCCAACGCCTTAACCACTCGGCCATCCTGGTCACATTTGATATAATCTGTGTGCTTGTTTTTAATAGCTCATGTAGATTCAAATTTTACTTAATCTCCGACACTTTCCAGGCTAGGTGATAACTAAAAAGTTGCGTGTTTTTGAATACCCGGCATAGCCAATCGAAACCCAATTGAATTGTATTTCAATCGAACTCAATCGCACTAAATCGAACTCAATCCACGAATTGAGTTCGATTGAGTTCGGTAATCAAATCGAACTCACACAAAATGACTGGACAATCGAACTAAATTGAACTTTTGATTTCTGAACTCTTGATTTGTAAAACTGGAAACTGGTGTTGAAAATCAATAACAAGTTTCGCAAGGCTCGAGTTACTTCAGTGTAACACGTGTTTTTTTTGTTTAATCTTTGTTCAAGCGAATTTATTACTGATATATGAATCGGCATTTTGATATCTCTTTCGTTTTCGGTTGTGAACCCATCCATTACCAGGATGGCCGAGTGGTTAAGGCGTTGGACTTAAGATCCAATGGACGTGTTGTCCGCGTGGGTTCGAACCCCACTCCTGGTAAGAATTTTCTTTTTTAACAGCCGTGTCAAGTTGTAAACTCGTTTATCTGTATAACGAATTTACGACGACCAAGGAATACTGAATTCGTAAACCGATTTAATTTCAATTTATCAGCGGCTGAGAAGATTTTAGTGACACTGACGTATTTTGTATTTTGTATTTCTCATTTCAAGCGGGAACAAAGCAGTGGCGGATCTAGGGGAGAGGCCCGGGGGGGCCCGATCCCGCCTTATTTTGGGAGAAAAACGAAAAAATCACAGAAGGAAGAAAAGCCGGCAGGGCACGCAAAACAAAACCGCCACATCCACCTTAGTTTAAGGTCTGGATTCGCCACTGCAAAGCCAGTAACCCCGACCTGCTGTACGGGAATACGTGTTAGTGTCTCTAGTCGCACCAAGTATACTGATATGATTTTTATTATCATCCTTTAATTAGTTATCTGAGTCAGTTAAACACCATGTTTCTATAATATTTACACACTCGGAAAGTAGCTTCTAATGTACTTTCGACTTGTATAGTTTTGCTTACTATTCCGTGTACAATCGTATAAACACTTTTTACAGCTTTTGATGTGAAAACTGTCGCTAATGATACATGAACATTCTGTCCATATATCAATCTGTATGACGTGAGCAAATGTTGATTATCCTTACTAAATTTCATACCTTTATTTTAATCTTAAAATATCAGGATAAGAATTCGTTGTTTACCATGTTTACCATCAAATGGCATCGTTATTTCTTAGTACTGTACACGGGTTTGCCTCTTATCTAAATTGTACCGTGATTTCTCGACGACCGCAGCTGTTGTCTTTCTTTGCTAAGTTTCGGATATCTCCGTGTCCTACTTAATTCTGCAACGAACATTTCATCTCCTCATACAAGGATGCTATCCCGTCTGATACTCGCCTTCCTCGTCAGGGGTAAAGATGGACGCGGTGACGAAACTTGCTTCAAAGGTATCGGAGGGTCCTGGGAGACTTGACACACACATGGAGACCTGGGTGACGGAATGGCTTTAGAATCAAACACAAAGCTGTTTCGATCACAGATCTGAAGGCGATTAGGTGAACGCTGGTAGCCACTGTCTGAGTTGTTGGAAATCACCATAGAATCAGTTTGACTGGTTCTGCAGGCCAACACAGTTGGCAAGCTCTGGCAGTCAACTTCAAAGTTTCGTTGCTTCCTGGGAATCTTCAGTTGCGCTTGCGCGAGGTTGTAGTATAGGGAAAAGGTACTGCCAATCACGGAGGCGGACGTAGAGAGGATGATAATGCCGCAAATGGAAGCGATACCACCAATGACCTTGCCTGCAAATGATTCCGGCACAATGTCACCGTATCCTACCGTTGTCATGGTGATGACACCCCACCAGGCAGCATTAGGCAGGCTGTGGAACAACGATTTGGATTTAGCCGTGCCCCAGCTCTTCTCGGCGTACAAAGTGAGGCTGGAAAAGATGATGACAGGAATGAGGAGAATGAGGAGGAGAAGGCCCAGTTGATGACGGCTAGCCTTGACTGTCTTGCCGAGAATCTGGAGGTCGTACAAGAGCTTGAAGAACCTGAAGATGCGCACCACCCGCGTTGTGTTCAGGACTTCAATCAGTGTTGTGCGCTCGAACACGAGAAGCAGGTATAGTGGGATTATTACCAGCAGGTCAATCCAGTTTTGCAGCTTCTTGGCAAATTGGAACTTACTGGGACAGAAAACCAAGCGCAACAGGAATTCCAAAGTGAACCAACCTGTACACACCGAGTCTATGATCGTCAGCGCGTCCATCGGGGTCCGGGAGCCCTCAAGCTCCGTTGTCGTTTTCGTTGCTGAGGATTGTTTCAAAGAAACTTTGTTATTATTGATCTTACAGGCAACAAAATGCTGAATATATTCGGCGAGTGAAAATCGTCACTACAGGACCGAAGTGATGAAATCTAAAACACGCTGCAATTTTGATGCCAGCACCCTTAAAACTCTCGCTTGGTTATGATTGGTCTGTTTCGGATTTTTCAACAATATGCCCACATCACAAAAAAGGCCAGTAATAGAATTTGAAGAAATTTGATCAGAACATTAGCACATATAGGCCAGTGAGAGGTGAGCTTAATTTAGTCCACAACTAATAGATGTTGTTGTTGTTTGTTTGTTTTGCAAATTGAAACATAACCTAAATCCCGCGCAAAAAAGAATGGCAGATGGTGGACCAAGTAAAGCCGTAAGGGGACTTTTAACGGGCTATACTCGTCACTTAAAGGAACTACGCTACGGCTTGCGCATCTGGAAAAACCTTAGCCTAAACGTTTTTCAAGTTTGTCGTTTGCAATCCGTGTTAATCTTCTTCATCCTTGACTATCTTTGTTCCTTTATGGTTTATGATTATCTCTTTGGTGTTTTTCTATCTTAGTAAACGACTATTTTCATGGTTTCAAAATAACTTAAAATCCCGTGACTGAGCTCCTTTAATTGCGATGTACATGTAGTTTTCCAAACTTATTAAGTACAGAGAACATCTTTCCTCCCTGTTGATGTCCCCGGTCAATTTTTAGGGTACCATTTTACCGCTGTACTTACTATAGTTGTTAGCTCCGTGTGTAACATTGCGCGTGACGGGCACTTCTCTGACTCCCTTGAAGTATTCGACGGTCCACAGGCAAATAGTGAAGATGGAGGTGACTATGAACCCCAGAGAGACCCAGGCAAATACCTAGTAAAATAAAGTTTAAAACAAGTTGCATGCGGAGAGGTTGAAAATATTGAAAAAAACAAAACAAAAACAAAACAAAAACAAAAACAAAAACAAACAAACAAAACAAAAAAACAAACTATTATTATCTGTTACTGTAAACTGCCGCTTATAATCCCTCCCACTTATAAGCCCCCCTCCCCCCGCCCGGTTAGAGGCCGTTCTACTTGTAAACATAATATTCAGTTCTGATTATAAGCCCTACTGTAGTTTCAAATAAAATACGAAATCAATAAATTATGTTTTATTTCGGTTATAAGCCCCTCGGATATAAGCTCCTCCGGTTATAAGCCCGTCTAAAAGCTCTTACGAAGTTGCATAAGCCCAGGGGTTAGAAGCGGCAGTCTACGGTGTTGAAAAAAGCTGAGTTTTTTTACAACTGAAATTCGTTTAATTTGTAATTCAATAATCCCGTCAAAGAGAGAACTTCCCGAATTATTCAAATTCATTTACGGAAGCTTAAAAGGAGATTCAGATAATTTTTGATAGGTCAAGACAGATAACTTTTTAATTCACATCAGAAGGGTGAGGAACAGGGCAAAGCAACACAAAGCAGCGTTTTTGAAGGTTTTTCAGTAAAATCAGAAAATAAGAACGTTGACAAGAGTTTTAACATTCTAGGCCATAACATCATATGGCTTAAATTCTAAGTTTCTATCTTGTATTCGTCTTTGTGGTTTTATATTGATAGAAATTTGCATATCTTGTGCTAAACAAACAGCACAATTCTGAGATGAATTTTGTTTCGGTTTTTTCATGGTTTGCTGGAAGAAAAGACTTTCATCGCGCGGTTTTAACAAATATGCGTAAGTCAGCAAGTTACTTTATTCACTAACTGTAAGCACAATAGAATTACAAGGTACCTTAGCCGTCGAGGACGAATACGGATCATCCAGAATTTCCCAAACAATCGGCTGGTTTCTTTGCCACCACGACGAATTGGGATGATTGTAAAACCGATCTCGAGGCCTCTCATCCGCCGAGTTTTCATATTTTGGCCTAAAATCTAAGGCCTGCAAGTTTTCTTGAGCGTCCCTGTGTTTCGTGTAATTTGGCCAACAACATGATTCCATTTGTTGCTCATCTAAGCCCCAGTAAGCGAGCTCTTGCTCGAATAATGGACCGCAAATGTTTCGAGGACAGTGAAGTTTGCCCGTTTGTAAATAGTTCAAAACCTGCGCGAAAACGCCTGGATGTCGATCGAAAAAATATTCCCCCGTTTCTGGATCGTAATCAAGTTTGCTTCGGTTCTCTAAGATCCTCGAGAGCGGAATATCTGGTATATTTCTCAGCGTACTTATGTACGGCTCAAAGAGTTTTCCCCCGACATTCAAAACAACACGATCTCGCATATCCTTCTTTGAAGCGAGGGCATCAAGCTTGCTCGTGTCTCTTCTCTCTAGAGGTGACATTTTTGCCTTTTAGTCTGTAATTTACGGCATGAAGCTCGCTTGAAATTCCTGATCTTAAACCGCAAATTTAACGAAAAGATGACCAGAATTTCCCCCGCTTGTAAATCGAAGATGTTATTTTCTTATTGCATCCGGGTCTTTATTTTTCCATTGCACCTGTCTGGTTGGCGTTTCCTAGCAACGAATGACATCGATGATTTTATCACCAAGCCTTGAATTAGTTATATTTCTTTTTCCTCTAACGGTGATACAATCTAAGAATAAATGCTCTCGATCAGTCTGCCAAAAAAACAAAAAAAAAAAAGAAAGAAAAAAAGAGCCAGTTGCTTTCTATGACCAGGCTTTTTTAGAGTTGCTTTTGATGGCAGATTAAAATCAGGAGGCCCCAGATATTCGTTTTATTATACGTCTATCGATTCTAGGAAAAAACTACTAACGGAAAAATAAAGTGTGGACTCAGTTCACACATCAGTTTAAAAGGAAGCTTCTACACTTTTATGATAACAAATCTCTTTCTTATAATCTTCCAAGTACAAGTGAAGTGGTGGGGATGTAAGTATCTAAACTTATTTTTAGATCAGCTTATTATTATATACTAGAATAAGTTTATTCTTTTATCACTTTGGTTTCCTACGTGTGACTATGCAACGAATTTAATTAAGTTAAAGTTAAAGTTAAATATCGTTAGTTTGGTGATGTTCTTTGAAAGACCTCGTTGCGTCAACGATACTTTTTAAAATCCTCTTTCAAAGTGATTATTAAAACTTTAAAAAAATTACGGGAACGGCTAAGAAAAAATTGATTCGTTGCACAGCAAGGTTAAGTTGTGCCTCTGAGTCTAAACTTTTAGCGAAGAGGACTGTTTATATCGATCGATAAACCATCTCTGCGTATTTGAAGATTTATCGGACACTCGACCATCGATCTTCAAAAGCAATATTTTGCACCAAAATACTCCTGTCAATTAATTGTTCTAATACTTTACAACTTTGCTCTCAATTTCATAAACGTAATCCCTGAATTCATAACTATTCCAGGAATTATTCAAACAGCCAAACAAACAAGTTTCTCTTTTGCTTCGACCACCTGATATATAATTGTCTGTACAAACATGTTCACAGTGGTCTTTAACGTTTTTGCCTAATTATACCTTACTTCTACAAACTTTCCATAGCAAAGCGCCTATTTTGGAGTTATTTCAAAAAAAAAAATCCTGATTAAAAATGAACCCTGAATGCATTTCATTTCAACTTCGTTACAAGGCCTATTTGTAGTTGTCATGATTTACTTGCCGGGTAAAATATAGTACACTGTCTTCGTTCAAGCAAGAGACGTCCGTGCTTCTATGCCCGTTATAAAACATTTGGAAGTCTTCGGGCCGAGTAACACGTCTCTCAAGTGCGCGCAGTCAGAAGGGGGTGGGGGGTGGGGAGAAATGCCCTTCCTCGCTGCACTTTACGTTAATTATTCTCCAAACCTGGGATAGCGCACGCATGCGCACTTGAAGATAACTCTGGTTATATTCCCACCATCTGGAAATCATTTGCTCAGTAACCTTAGCTTCAGATTAAAAAAAAAACCCTTCAGGTTCGGATCTGTCTCGGAGTGACATGAAGAACTAATTAAGAACTAATTAAAAAACGTCCTGCAAACAATCTGCAATCAACACAATTTAGAAAAAATTAATTGTTATGCGTTCAAGAAAATGAGTTCTTACCTTAAAATAATTTGGTATTCAGTCGTCAGGCAAAAATTCTCGCCAAAGACTGAGAAAGCTTAAAAATATGTCAATTATAGAGTAACTTGTGAAATACTAAAATTGCTAAAAAAACAACATTAGTGACCATCTTTACGAGCTCAATAGTTTTATCCGCTCAAGAGAAGTTTGGCATTTAACTTTAACTGAGCTCACATTTGCCCCCCCCCCCNCCCCAAAAAAAAATGCCAGACAGAAAATGGAAAAATTCTACACCAATGACAAGAGGCACACTGGATATTTTTGTCAGATGTCCAATGGTTGTGAACATTCTTAGCTAACTCTCTTTTCCGCCAAAAACATCAAATTGTATTATAAAAGCTGCTACCATGCCTCGATGATAATTTTTAACTTAGCCTAGTTAGAGTGACTGGTGCTTAAACTTCCGTGTAGCGTCTGTGATTGGCTGTTTCTTGGTTTTGAATTTTCCCGCGCAGGTAACAGCCAATCAGATGGAGTCTCGCATCTCTGTAAGGCTGCGTCATTAGCATGGAAATGTTTCTACTCGAACCTAGTTATCTCTCTTGAAAAGTTTTGAACTTAGAAAATTGTAGTTTTTATCCTCAGCCTCACACATATATATACATTACCAACTACATGGAGAGGCGGCTGGGAGAGTGAAAGGTAAATGTAACGATACGAATTTATTTATTTGTTTTATTTATTGTCTCATCATGGCACGAATGTGGAACAAAGGTAAAACTTGTACAACTGACGGGCTCTTATTACTATTTGTCCCACGTTCCTGACATTCACGGAGCTTAAAATTTACTATCTTTCATGGTCGCATTAAATTAAATTTCCTTTGTATAGCAGTATAACATAACCCAGATTCAAAATTTATCTTCAGAAATAGAAAAAAGTAACATCGGTTTAATAGCAAATGGTCCAGACCATAGTACCTAGAGGAAAATGGCTAAGAAGCCCGGTAAACATCAAAGAAGCAAACCATGCCATTAACCATGCCCAGACACTGCAAAATTATGCAAGTGCCTCACAGGGCAGCATTTGGCACGTTGCCCACGCGCGGCGTGCAATATTACAAAGCCAAAATTGCGATGGTAGCTGGATCAAGCAGCCGAGAAAATGTTCTGCAGACAATTAGAATGTTTGCTCTTAAAAAGGTGGCAAACAGTCGTCTTGCTTTGATAAGTGGGCAGAACATTGCTGATATTTTTGACACTGCCTCAGAATCCACGTGAATGTTGCAACGATTGACTCGCGTCAAAATTGTTACGCACATCAATCAATAGAGCGTTTTCACTCACGTGGCCAGGACACATGCACATTTATTGGAACAAAAGAAGTGTTCACCTAAGAAAAGAGTTCAACTTCCACAGGATTAGTTTGGTACGCCAACAAGGCCCCTGTTGCATTGTTTTGAAACACCATTATTGTTGCTATGAAGTCAGGTGAAAAACCGCTCTATAGCTGAAACTTTGCGCGGAATTTTTCTTAGAAGGGTTTTGGGGCAATTTCAGGAAGGCATAATTCAAACATTGCACAATGTGTCCGGGTATTTCTTTATATTAAAAAAGAAGTGATCTCTATATAGAACGGGCGATGAAATGGGTCTGCCATTCATCAGACACCTCTCCCACCACCTCTCTTCTCCTTGTGTGTCCGAGCTAGGATCATACACGGGTCATATTTTGAATGTTGTCTCTTTTATGTCCTCTAATTGCCGACCTAAGCATATCATCCCTGCCTTCAGATTCCAACACGTTATTGCTCTGTGAAGGCGTAGAATGCTGCAAATGTTTCAATTCTTGGGGAGAATTGTTATCTGCATATTGCGAATTCCTTGCACTGTCTATACATTTTCTACCCTTTAAATCATCAAAAGATCCATTTGCTGGTGGCCTGTGTACCTTTTCTTCCGATCTCACCAGAGGCGATATTGGCAATGACGTAATACCTCTGTTTCCGCCAATCGCGTTTCGTCTCTTGCCTGGCGGAGTGTCACTGGACGCGAGTTCGCTTCTAGACCGAACCCGAGGCTCAGCCGAAAGTTTGTTTGGATTTTTCTCTTCGTTTAAGTTTTCTGATGATCTCCACGGCGGTGCAGGTTCTATTTTATTGTCTTGTCTTTCTTGTTCCTTTTCATCGTCATTGTAGTCTTTGCTAGAGTCAAACGTTACTCCTCGTAAATTAACATGAGCGTGACCGGAGTCACGGCCGTCACCAGGGTCACGCAGCGGCCGCATTTCATCTTCCGTTTTTTCGTCCGAAAGGACAGCTCTTCTACCCTCGTTATTTTTGTGTTCTGATGTGTTTGATTCATTTGACGATTCGTGCGTTCCACCGTATCCTTCCTGTGGCGAGGTTTCACTTTGAGATTTCCCAGGGATTCCACTCTCCCCCGCGCTATCCCCGTCGGTTGTCGTATAATAACTGTCTCTCTCTTTCTCGTGTGACGATACATCGCCGTTTCCACGGTTAGCTAGACGTTTACTTCCGCCTCGCCTCCTCTTGCGCTGACTCTGTCTCTTTCCCGGAGGGGTGGGTGCGGGAGAAATTGCCATTCGGCGGTGCGAGGGAGCCGTTATATGCAACATGACGTCACTGGCTCCTCGGAGGCCACTGGATATGTCCATTGCACTGTCCGTAGGTGGAGACGAAAATAACTCCTCTGCGCTCTTCTTCACATTGGAAGCATGTTCCACATCGGAGGTGTCCGACTCTAGCCGAGGCAAAGTGGAGGGTGGCAGCACCGCTTCCCTACGAGTCGAGCGACAGCGAGGAGTTATCGACGGATTCCGAAGACTCTTTCGCGGCAGAGGCAAGGTTTCGTCGCGTGGACTCGGATTACTGACTGCCTCTGAACTGTCCGAGTTTCCTTCGTTGTTGTACAAAGTCGACTCTGACACGAGAGCGCCTGCAGCACCAAGTAAAATCGGCGTGCGCTTCTTTTTAGGCAGTTTCAACTGCGCTTGCGCATGAGAATAAAACAAAGTGAAGTTGCTGCCAATCACAGACACAGGAAGTGCTACGATGAGCACCCCTACGCATGCGCAAATTGCGCCAAGAATCCTTCCAAGAAGGGACTTAGGATACGTATCACCATAGCCTACTGTCGTCATGGTGATTACAGCCCACCAAAAGGCTTCTGGGATGCTGTCAAAATCTGAATCCGATGGTGGCTTTAGAGTCTGCAGAAAAAAAAAAATACAACCAAATAATAAAACCAAACTTTGATGGCTTTTGAAAGTACTTCTCAATGGTTTTCAAATAAATGGCCGCTCACCAGGATTTCCTCCACAAACATAACTGAAAGGTTAGGGCCGTATATTACTTCATAGTAAACTGTTCCATTATGGTAAATAGTAGCTTTCATTTGAATGGTCACACACTAAGATTTCATCCACAAAACTTAAAAGCTAGAACCACCTTGTATAGTATAATAAACAGTACCACATGAAACTACTGCTCAAAGCTTTCATTTGAATGGTCACACACTAGGGTTTCATCCACA